AGGGAGACAGAGAATCCCAAGCAGGCTCCACACTGTCAGCACAGCACCCAACACAGGGCTTGAACTCACGAACCATGAGATCATGACCTGAGCCGAAATCAAGAGTCTGGCACTTAACTGACTGGGCCATCCAGGTGCCTCAATGCTTCCAAAATCGAAAAAAAATTATTAAATTGCTCTACTAGGTTCAAAAAAAAAAAAAAAAAAAGCTGAGGTTTCAAAACTAAGCAAAGATCAGAATTCCCAAGTATAAAATTATTTATTCAAAACTATTAATAAGACTCCTAACATCGTAAGTGAATAACACACAACCAGATTATTGATCAATCTTTTGAAAGCTCCCACTCCCACTTCTTTAGCTGGTGGCTGATGCATGCTACCGACGTGCAAAGTTATTTTCACAACGTGAACGCAACTGGCCACCTACCTTCCAGAAACCAGTCTCTTATCAACAAGGAAGAGACAAATAATCAAGGTGGCACACCTGGTTTCATCTTAAGATATATTTTTTCCTATTAACATCTCATCAAAGATCAATAGGCCAGGATTCTTCTTCTGATCCTATCGATGAAGAACGATTGGAAAAGAGAATGCTCCACTTAACCAAACATTCTGCTTTATTAAATATGGTGGTTGCATTATCTACAGTTTTTAAGTAAAACACTGCACGGTTCCCTAGGCATTCATACAAACAATTATATAAGTGCTGTACGTGCAGGTGATTAGAAGACTGTGCTAACTTTTCTTTAGCCACAGTACATATCTTAGAAATTGCTTGCAGAAACAAATCTTGAGAGGTTGTTTACTTTTATGAAACAGACAAATAAGAGTGAAGAGAAATAATTTCAGCTATTTGAGCTTCCTGGCTGCCCGGAAAATGATGAAAAAGCTGACTGGAAAACATTGCTTATCCTATAAAGCAGTGGTTCTCATAGTGTGGACTGGTATCACCTATAAAGCAGTTGTTAGAAATGCTAATTTGGGGGTCCTGCCCCATACCTCCTGAATCAGAAACTCTGGGGGTGGGGCCCAGCAATCTGTGTTTTAACAAGCCTGACAGGTGATTCTGAGGCTTAAGTTTGAGAACCACGGTTACAAGATACTCAAGCTTGTTGTGGGGAAAATCACTACTATCACCAAAAGGAATGAAACATGGTTTGCCTCCTTGATCATGTGGGAGCTCCTCCTGGCTGGGTCTTATGATCAAGAAGTTTTCAAAGCTATCCTTGACCTAGGAGGAGTTATTTCAGCCCCAACTAAAACAGAACACAGAAAGTCCTCCAGTGGGGGAATAAAAGTGCTATTATTTGCAACCTGTTCTAAAAGTCAAAGGATGAACTTTGAACAACAACAAATTAACAATTTAAATTTAGAACGGGCTGTTTCACCATGTATTCTGCAGTTCCTTCGACAAAACAGTCTTCTCTCATGGAAGAGACCAGAAAATGAGCTCTGCCAACATCAACCTTAACAAGTACTGGAATATAGATTTTACCCACCTGAAGATGACAGCTAACATAAAGCCTGACTCAAGTGGAAAACGGCACTTGGTCCCTAGCTTCCAAGATTCTTTCTTGCCTTTGCCCTTTCTCCTGTATCTATGTGATCAGATATAATGCAAACATTATTCTTCAGTTAAGCTATTCGATAATGTTATGGCAATTCTTGTATGGATGGAACTGACTTAACTCAAATGTGACATGATGAAGAATGGTGTCACACACACAAAATGTCCTGAATGCTTGAGCTTTTAACACCAACTACCATTGGCCTGTTTTGTGTTGTTTAATGCCCTAGTTACATAAAGGGCTGTTGTTCTTGGAACGAAATCCTGAGATATAATAATGATGTGACTTGTGTCAGTTACTTGCTCTCACTCCTGGTCCATCCTTCCCAAATATGGCAGCTGTGTCTCAGTGGAAAGAGCATCAGAAGACCTGGGTACTGGCCCCAACTGCGGGACCTTGGAAAAGTCTCTTAACTTCTTGGCCTCCATTGATTTAGCTGTAAAAATGAGACACCACCTAATTCCCAAGGCTGTTGTAGTAAATGAGAGACATAAATAATGAATACATTTTGTACAGTTTAAAGCTATATTCATCTGTTCACTCCACACATATAGTGAGTGGCTATTACGCAGAAGACACTCTTCTGGGCACTGAGGATAAAGGTGTGAACAAGAAAGTAAAGACCTCTTCCCCAAAGGAGCTCACATTCTAGAGAGAAGGTAAGATTTATTATTAACACAAAGGATAGCTGTTCTCCCCCATGTACATTTTTTCTTCAGGATTCAGATTTCCTGGGACTTTCCATGATATCAAGGAGATCTATAATTACAGGATAAAAGTACATTTTCAACTTCAAACAATAATATTGTTAAGTGAAGGTCAATTAGATTTATCTAAATTAATAACTGAGGCTTCCCCAGTTGTAACCAGTTCCTCCAGTGAAATCATTGTCTCTGGAGGCAGAAATTATACTAACCTAGAGAAGATAGGAAAAAAATAGTGATCGAAAAAAATAGTGAGCAAAACAAAGTATATACTGGATACTACGTTCAACAATTAAGGGTAGATGTGGACAATCCTATTTTTCTGTATCTGTTATGGTCATTCCTAGAACTGAATTGGCTGAATTTGATCTGATCATTTTCCAGAATTTCTCATCCTAATAAAAAATTCACCGTAAGCCCTAAGTGTCAAAAAAAAAAAAAAAAAAAAGCCTCTCAAGTCTACCAAAGGCATGATTAGTTTGGGGGGTTCCGAAGGACACAGGTCCAAGTAGTCTTGTTTTGTTTTAACGCGTTGGAACCATACTGCAGTCTCCATTGAATGCAAAGAGCTTTCAAAGAGGCCTGTTCAGAACATGCACCAGGTTCTAGGAAAGGGCCACGGACACAGACACACACACACACCCACCCACCCACACCCCTAAAACCTCACCCACAGGCCAAATGTTAATCCTTCTGATCACATGCAAGGTGAAAGGAGAGCAATCCATTTTTAGAATAGATATATCCATCTCTTTGTTTGCGTCCAGGCACATTATGCGCAAACCTACAAGCAAGGCAGACCCTGCAGCTAAGAGACCTCATACAAACCGCCTCCCCAGCAGAACACAGTAAAACCCCGCCGGGGGGCTGGTGTTGTTTTATTTAATGGGGCTGGAAAGAGGGAGTGGTCAGGAGGAGACTAGCAGGGATCCCTCCCCTCCCCCTCGCCCAGCAGACCCTCGAAGCCCCGACTGTCGAATATCTCTGCAGCTACCGCATCCTTGGAAGGTCCTACGCAGGTCCGAGATTCTGCTATTCGTCATTTCCCACGCCCTCCCAAACCACCACCACAATGACCACCTCTCATCAGTCGTCTTCCAGGTGCTGCTTTATTTCCATCCCTGGTCCTGGAGGAGCTGCTCCCGCGATTCCCGCACCCTCTACCACCTCGCGCGGCCAACCCCCCAGACCAATACCGAACCCTCTGGAGTCCTCCAGCACCTCCCAATCTCCATCCAGCCTCTAAGTCCTCATCCGTATCCTGCCCCCGTCTCTATCCCGATCCCCATCACCGAGCCCCCTGCCCCGGTCCGTAACCCCACCCTCACACCTTCCTCACCTGCAGCCCAAGAAAACGTGGTTGGTCCAGGCGGCGGAGAGCGCGAGGAGCTGGTCCAGGGCAGCCCCGGGATAGCTGTGCAGGTGCCGACAGATGAAGCTGCGCCGCAGAGCCCACTGCCAGTCACTTTCGTGGCTATAGCGCCACTGCTCCAGCACTGGCTCGGGCGGGGGCGGCGGGAGGGGCGGCAGCGGCGGCGGCGGGAGGGGGGGCAGCGGCGGCGGCGACAGGAAGTCGCCCCCCAACAGCAGACGTCCGCCAGCCATCTTCTCCGCCCCCAAGCAGGGACCCCGGGGATGAAGCCGGCTACCCACCAGGAGCGAGCGGGAACGGGGTGAGGGGGGGGGGGGGGGGGGGGGGGTCGGGGGGAGGGGCCGGGTGAGGAGGGGGTGCGCCGAGGCGCGAAGACCAACTCTCAGGGGACTGGAGTGTGTGCGTGGGGGGCGACCGTTAAAAAGGAAACGGCGAGCACGCGCTCACGTTCCGACGCCGGGGCGCACGCCCGCGGCACTCCAACTCTCGGAGGCGCAGGACGGCGTCCGCCGCAGTCACACGCGCACCGGGGAGACCAGGCCAGGCCCGGTGCTCCGCACCTCCAGCGACCCGCAGACCCACACACTGCGCGGCGACCGGGGGAGACACCAGCACGCTCTGCCTCCCCTCCTCTGGGTTCTAGCCTACCTACCCGCGTGCCGCCCCGAGGTTGTGAGGCCAGTACGCGTGCGCCGCTGCTGTTCCCTAACTTCGAAATCCCGTCGCCGAATCTCGCGCGACGTACATTTTTTTTTCCTCCTATGACGACTACGGGCCTTTGACGCACTACGGAGACGAGCGGGGGGCGGGGACTTCGGGAAGGGAATTTTGGAAGGTTCTCCGACGTTCGGGAACTTGAGTCCGTGAAATCCCTGGAAGGCGCCAGCTGACGATTGCTGGCACGACGGCTCGGCCGACGCTTTGGCCTGGGTTTCCGAGCGGGTGCGACAGTGGGACCGTGCCCTTTGGGGAGGGACTTCGGTTTGGATTTCACACTTAAAAAAAAAAAAAAAAAAAAAAGCTCGCCCAGGCGCCTTTTCTTAAGAGGCTAGCTTGAAAACCTCTGCCCCGTGCGTCATTAGCTTTGTATTTTATTGTGAAAACGTAGGGGAAAGGTCACGCTTGCAAAGAAAATCATCCACAGCGTCGCGTCTCAAGCCAGCCACTTGTCCGTACGCCATTCCAATTGCGGACAAATGGAGACACCATGTTGACACGGGGCTGACCGCAGTTGCAAGCAACTCCGTATACCATGTACCAGTTTAAAACGCGCAACATAGTGCATTCCAAAAGGGGCCGAAAGAAGAGGGGGGGGGAAAGCTGCACAGTAGCAAATGGCTAAATCACTCTGGAGTGAAATGTGTCACTCTACCTGTGGCGCTTCTTCCCTCAGTGTCTGCCGCCAACCCGCGCTATTCAAGTAATCAAGAAGTGTCTCTCAGCGGGAATTTACACAGCACCTACTGTATGCTCAATATAATGGAAATACAAAGGAAAAGGGAACAGGGGTGTACTCTGTTATCCTAGAACTGATTACAGTCTTGGTGGGGAGGAAATAGTCCTGCGTAAAACTCAACGTCCCGCTGGCAGGACCGTTGGATGAGGTGACTTTGACCCATTGCCCTCTTTAAGTCTTTAAATGACATACTTAAAAAATATGTTTATCTAGGGGCATCTGGTTGGCTCAGTGGGGTAAGCATCTGACTTGGACTCAAGTCATGATCTTGTGGTTTGTGAGTTCGAGCCCCGCGTGGGGCTCTGTGCTGACAGTTCAGAGCCTGAAGCCTGCTTCGGATTCTGTGTCTCTTTCTCTCTCTCTGCCCCTTCCCCACTCGTGCTCTCTCGCGCGCTCAAAATATTATTTATCTTTGAGCGAGACAGAGAGCGAGAGAGCATGAGAAGGCAGGTCAGAGAGAAGAGAGAAAGAGGATGCCAAGCAAAGAGAGATCGGGAGAGAGAATGCCAAATAGTGTAGATCCTGACGCGGGGCTGGAACCCACCAACCGTGAAATCACGACCTGAGCCGAATCAAGAGTGGGCACTTAACCGACTGAGCCACCCAGGCGCCCCTAAATTGTATATATTTTTAAATGACATATTTCTCATTGCGTGACACATCTAATGTGTAGGGGTGTATGGACTAAGAAGATATAGCACTTTTTACAGTTTCATAATGATTTATTTCCACGTCTGTCCCATTACACAGAGTGCGTTTGGTTTCTCACTCAATGGTAAGCATTCAGATTTATCGACGTCATGGTGGTCTTCAAATCAAGTCAGAGAACACGATACTAGGAAGGAAGCTCAGAGCTCATACATTCAAGTCACCCTTGTATGAGTCACAAAAATAAGGCCCGAGAGGTAAAGTGACTTGCTGAAGGGTGTAGACCATTCCCGGCAAAGCTGAGATCAGAATCTCGGTCACCTGACTCCTTAGCCAGTGCTCCCCCAGTCATTTGCACTGCCCTGAGTTTGTTTTGCTTTGTTTTTTTCTTCTTCCTCACAGAATGTATCACTATTTGAAATTCATTTTGTACAGCTTGGCTATTCCCGCCCTCCCCCAACCATGGCAGCTCCATGAAAACAAGAAACTCATCCATTTCGGTTTTAGCACCACCAACACCTGGCTCCTGTAGACGCTCCACAGACGCTCCACCAACACCTGGCTCCTGTAGACTTGTTGAATTAAATGAATTGCTGAATGAATGAAGGCTCTTCCCATTGTCCCAATCTCGTGAAATTCATTTTCTTGGAGCTTACATTTTAAGCCGATTTATTATTTCACAGCTGGGTTAATTTCAGCCTAAACTGCCAACTTTTATCAAAATCAGCATTGTATTCAATACACATCTCTCCTAGAAAGAGATTTGAAAAAAATAAAAACTCCTTCCTCTCAGCTTGGATTAAAGCTTTCCCACCATATAGCAACAAATAATTGCAGTCTGAGTTTTGAACTTGGGTTATAAAATGAAAGGCTGGGGCACCTGGGTGGCTCAGTTGGCTAAGTGTTGGACTTCAGCTCAGGTCACAATCTTGCCTTTCGTGAGTTTGAGCCCTGCATCAGGCTCTGCACTGCAGAGCCTGCTTGGGATTCTCTCTCCCTCTCTCTCTGTCCTTCCCCCGCTCTCTCTCTCTCAAAATAAATAAAGTTACAAAAAAATGAAAGGCAATGAAACTGATGTTAGGGGCCATTTCCCCTGGGACCACCATAACTGGATTCCATTTGTAATTCCCACTATGGAAAAAAACACTTCCATCCTCTAGAAAATGAAACAAAAACTTGCATGATATTCCATGACCTTCTTTCCCTGGTAATCCTTCTGATCAAAAAATCCTTCAGCCAACCTATCTTCAGCCCAGTGAGTAAGAGCTGAAACCTCTATGCAGAATTATCTGAACAATGGTTGAAGGGAGGTGTGGGAGGGAGCAATGATAAAGTCAGCCATCCCAATCTTTTAAAACAATTTTTTTAATGTTTTATTTATTTTTGAGAGAGAGACACAGAGACAGAGTATGAGCAGGGATGGGCAGAGAGAGAGGGAGACACAGAATCCGAAGCAGGCTCCAGGCTCTGAGCTGTCAGCACAGAGCCTGACGCGGGGCTCAAACCCATGAACCACTGGATCATGACCTGAGCTGAAGTCAGATGCTTAACCAACCAACTGAGCCGCCTAGGTGCCCCAAGGCAGCCATCACAATCCTAAAATGATCCAGAAACTTGGTGTAATCATCCATCGTCCTCTCCTCCATCATCTTTCTCTGCTCTAACACAGGCCCTTGCCACTGTCTTTACACTACACACACACACACACACACACACACACACACACACACACACTGACAGCTCTGAGCTGTCCTTTCCCTGCCCTTTCCTGTGGGGGAGTCAGTGAGTGATGAAAAGAGGGAAACCTGGAGCCTGGCCCTACCCCACGCCCATAAACGACCCCAGAAATTAGATCACCGAAAATTCTTGACCACAGTAGTCTACACTACAATATCCTCTTGCGGAATGTTTCCTAGTGGATCAAAAGCAATAGCTGAGTGCTCCCACTGATCAACTCTTGGTAATTTGAGCATCAAAATTATTAAGGACAGCAATGAACTATTGAAAAAATAGGAAGCCCTAAATCCACAGCGATATGAAGTAGATGAAGTAACGTGGGAGAAGGGAATGCCCTCACTTACTATGTGCTGACCAGTAAAAATGAAGGGAGTGCTCGAGTTGGAAAATCGTCATTTTGCAGATTGGTTCAGGCAAGAATTATCAATAGATACTAAATCTAGGGGGGAATTTTTGAGGAGCAGTAGGATATGTGCATGAACTTATGGTTTCCCCCCACAGATTATTAGTAGCAAAGAAGGGGGAAAAAGCCCCAGTAATTATATAGTGGAGAAAGTGGGCAACACCTTGACCTAAAATGAAAATAATCGATTTTTTTAAGATTTTGTCTCATTTAAAGTTTATTTATTTTGAGAAAGAGAGAGAGAGAGAGAGAGCAAG